TTCTAAAAACACTCATCGCATAAGTAGGAATAGCTTGGCCCACACTTTTAATAAGGGTTTCCTTCCCAACCATCGAAAAAAAAAATTGTCTTTGCCACCCTTGTAAAGTTCTCCAAACCCTATCCTTCAAAAATTTCCAATCCTCTGATCTTCTTCTCGAGAAATCTGATGGCAGTCCAAGATAGGGACCAAAATTATCCACCAGTCGAACTCCTAAAAGAGATTGAAGATAACATTTCCTATCTTTGACTATATTTGGAGAGAAACAAACTACAGACTTATCATAATTAATCACCTGCCCAGAAGTGCATTCATAAAGCTGAAGGATTCTTTTAAAAGCACAACATTCTACTGCGTCTGCAATAATAAATACAAGGCTATCATCAACAAAAAGAAGATGAGATATGATTGGCCCCGTTTCTGTGATCGGCAAACCCGAAATCTTTGAGTTTAACATTGCTTCCTTTATCAATGCAGATAACCCTTCCGCACATAGAAGAAATAAGTAGGGTGATATAGGGTCCCCTGTCTGAGGCCTCTGGATGGATGAATATGCCCCACAGACACTCCATTAATATTGATTGCAAAAGTCACTGTTGAGATACACTGCATTATACGATCAACCCATTCGTTTGCAAATCCCATTTTTATCATTATTTTCTTCACAAAAACCCAATCTACCCGATCATATGATTTGATCATGTCCAGCTTCAGTGCTGCATAACCAACCCTCCCTTTCTTATAGTTCTTCAGAGCATGTAAACATTCATGACCGATCACAATATTATCTGTAATAAATCTCCCAGGAATAAATGTTGATTGTGATTAGATATCACCACATCTAACACACTTTTTAAACGATTGGCCAGAACTTTCGTCACTATTAATTTGTATGAAACATTACACAAGTCTATGGGCCTAAAATCTGTGACCTGGGAAGGATTTTTGCACTTAGGGATAAGCACAATAGTTGCCTCTTTTAAATTTTATGGTGTTAAATTTTCAATCATGCACCAAAATTTAAATTTATCGACAAAGTATTTTAAAATATAAACTGATAATTAACAAAGATATAGTACTTAATTATTTAATCTGTAGATAATATTTATTAGTTTTAGTTTCAGATTATTCTTCAAATTTAAAATTTTATTTTCATTTCTTCATACCAAACGCAGAAAAAATTTATGGGAAATTGTTTAAAGTTTCTTTAAACTACTTAAAAAAATATAATTCTAATAAATAAATAAATAAACTCACTAAACTTTTCTTTTTCTCGTTCTTTTTTCTTTATATATATACTATTGAACGAACTAATATTGAACTATGTGTAAAATCATTTTTTTATTAAATAAATTAATATCAAACATTATTATATGGTAAATGGTAACCAAAAAATATATATATATATATATATATTATGAGATAAAATGGTTTTTTTCAAATAATATTACTTATATTGAACGTCTGATATATATACACATATATATATATATATATTTCACATCATGTATTTGAAATTACATTCATATGTGTGCTAGTTTGAATATTAAAGACAACACAGAGAAGTAGGTAGGAATATGAGAAGTGAAGAAATTAATAATAGGGATGGTCACATTATTCGCATATTTTGTTGATGCATAAATCTAGTGGCACGTCACATCAATAAAAGGGTTGAAGAGAGCTACAGATGAGATAAGTTGGTGACCTGCAAACAGAACCTTGCACCGATCTAATGATCAATCACGTGCCTTTCAATTTTAAGTTAGAATTTAGTCCAAAATAGTGTGAGTGGAGCTTAATAAAGGTTTCTGAGAAGTAGGTAGGAATATGAGAAGTGAGAAATTAATAATAGGGATGGTCACATTATTCGCATATTTTGTTGATGCATAAATCTAGTGGCACGTCACATCAATAGAAGGGTTGAAGAGAGCTACAGATGAGATAAGTTGGTGACCTGCAAATAGAACCCTTACATCGATCTAATGATCAATCACGTGCCTTTCAATTTTAAGTTAGAATTTAATCCAAAATAGTGTCGAGCGGAGCTTAATAAAGGTTGCATAAAATTGCATACCTTAAAAAAAAAGAAAAAGTGTGGAACCCCACCTTTTACAAGGGATTAATTCACTGTTGTCATCTGCCTTTCTTTAAGCCGAAGAGTCAGTAGAATTTACATCAAAGTATCCCCATTTAAAGTTGGCCTCCAA